GGTCTCCAACTTTGGGTTTCAAAGGTTAAAAACAACATACTTATATTGCAACGGCTTGTGCAGCTCCTGTTTAAATCCTTGTCTATTCTTTGCTAAGCTCCGGTTTCGGGCTCGATGTCTGAGTTTTACCACGCGAGGTTTCGGCCTCAAGGGCTCCTTTGAACCAACCCTCAATGCCCAAACACTGGATCCTGTACCCTTGAATCTCGCTTCAACAAACCAGTGGTTGGAGGCTCAAGGCGGATAGAAACTCATTTTGCGAGCTATAGGAAACCATGAGTGAAAAGATGTTTCCGTAGACCTCCGTGTCACGTTACCACCCCTCGTGCCCGCTGCGAAAAGGTCTTTTCTTACGGTTAATGGGTTTGAGGTTTCCGACGGAAGGGGACTGAAAAGGCCCTAAGCATCCCTAAGCCCTTTTCCCCCCAGGCCTTGAACCGACTTGGACCTGGCATTTGGGCTTTCTGTGTGTCGGCTCTAAGGTCGAGGGTTAAGATGTGTTTAGGAGTTTGGGTTGAGAGTTGGTTTCGGTCTTGCTTAGGGTTTCGGGTTTAGCAAGGCTTCAGGATTGCCGGGCCCTGCCTCTCCGCGTCGCATGGAGAGCGCGCGCGAGAGACGTGAGCTGATTCCAATCACGACCTAATACAGGGTTCTGTCGGCATTTTCCTGCCAGGTTGATTAAAGGGTCAACAGAATAGTAAAGGAAAAAAGGATATTGGTGAGTGCATGATTACAGGGCTTCTCTTGGAATACTGAACATTGGCGAGGTACTAACATGGGGATATGAGTAATATCGAAACCCTACCCCACTATGAGGCCCAGAGTACTTCACACCTGATTGAGCTTACATGCCACCTTCAGGTATGGAATGCAAAACTCGACGTTGCAAGTGCAGTTTATGTACCCTGAACCTCAAGGCAGCTCCCAAACCCTATAAAGCCTCAACGCTTAAGCCCGAAAGTCCTTTGAGCATTGAGTCTCTGCGAGCCCAAGCCAGCAACCCGAAGACGTAAGCACATCGCGAGGAAGCTTTCCGGCAAGGACGGCGCAGCCCCTGACACGATTCGGGGAAAGCCTTCAGGGCGCAGGATGTGTAGAGCATAGTGTTTCGTATGTGTTTGTGAAGGGTGAGGGGGGCCTCGAGGTTCAGGGCGTTTGAATGATCAAAGGTTTTCATTTCATCGTATGTATATATGATATAAAAAAATATACACATACATACATACATATATACATATACATATATATATATATACATATATTTATATATATACATATATATATACACATACAGAAAATAACGCACTACAGTTTCCAGTTTTCGTGGGTCGCACACTATATTGTCTCTACATGTTCATCTTCCTTTGTCTTGCATATTGACCTCAACTGTGCCATTGTACGTGTGTACGTGTTAGAGTTCGTGCTACGCACCAAATTCCTGGTTATCTTAAACTTGATTGTGGCATCAACCCAATAGGAAACAATCTTCACCATGCGAAGCTGACAAATGCACAGGACAGCGGCCTGCCTGTTCTCTTGGGCAGGCCGGACGAGGGTCGCAAGAACTATCGAAGAATGCCATGCCAAGACTTCGAGTGCTAAAATCATCAGTGCAGCTGTGATGTTGGTAAAGCTTGCATCTTGCAGAGCTATGTGTAGGGCTCGCGCGGCGTGCGATGTGCTACTAGAACTCCGTCACCTGCCCTTGCTTTGCCGTCTGATGACGATGAGGAGGAGGGTGGCTGTGCAGGGGTGTAAAGGGGTCACGTGAAGGAAGACTCAGGTAGACCCTTGCACCCCTGCTTGTCACGTGGAGCTTCCGTGGGCGACCCGGGAGTCACCGAAGCAATCCCCGATCCGTCAGAAGGACATGCTCTCCCGCAGTAGGACCTCAGCAGGTATTCAGGATGGCCCGACACTGAGCCCTTCCGTGCGAGGGGCAGCTGACCGATGGCCGCTATCACAATCTCAAGGGATGAGAAGGCCAATGCCACCCCTGAACCCTCTTCTAGAAGTCGCAGACCCCAAAACCGGCAACCCCAAAGAGTATCCTCAGGCCAGGCCATCACCCACAACTTCAAGCCGAAGCCTTCTGTAAAAGCCTTATCAGCCCCAAAAGTCAGACAGCTCGGCACACCATTAAATCAGCTCCGTGGCAGCACCGCATTTGATTTGTTGAAAAGACCTCAGCATGATTCGCATCACTATGGCTAATGATCCGGCTAATGTCCCTTATGTGCGCCTGGCTCGATGAAAAAAGCAGGTCATCAAGGTCTTAAGTAGTCTTGCATCCATTCAAAATCGTAATGCTGGGGCTTGCTGGATCAGCTGTAGATGAAAAGTCTTGAGCTTGAGCCCAGGGTTAGGAGTTCAGAGTTTCGGGCTAGGTTCAGCCTTTTGGGATTGAGAGTTCGGGGTTTCGAGCTCGTTTTTGAGCTCTAGTCCTTTTGTGTGCACGAAGGCCCATCGCTGTTGGACCTGGTGATGTGGAGGGCCAGGACCGACATGCGCCTGGAACTCAGCCGGTGGACATACATGGCACCTAGCGCGGCAGCATGTTAAGTAAGACAGGCATCTGGCAGCGCGTGCTTTAAGGCTGCAGCCAGGTGTTCTGAGCAAGTGGCTTTGCAGGTCAAAGCGTCACCAGAAGCACCTGCAACGCAAGCAGCATCGTTCTGCGCTGAAGGCTGGCAAGAAGCACAAGTGGTTGCAAAACGATACTTGTGCTCGCAGTTTTCAATCAAACCCTGGATTGGCACCGGATGGCCCTACCGCAGGTCTTTGCAACAAGTCTTTTAAGCAGGAATCAGGTTGCCCCTCACGTTCATGTTCAAACCTCTCTCGGTTGGAAGGACAGGGGTTTCGCTGATTGGGACATGCCCACCATACATTGTTGCAAGCTGCCATGCGATTCGAAGCAACTCTGTAAAGGATGAGCTTTACAAGTGCAACAAGAGTTATCTGCATAAACTCCTGTAGTCTGTATCCACTTTTCCGTTTTATTACTCCATATGGATAGGCCAACCTTCAATCATAGCACTTTGTATCTAGATTCCGTCCGACGGAAGACTAGCCCCTGTAAGGGAGCGACGAGCCCGGGGCGTATGGTGCTGAAGCCCAGGCAGCTTCACCGGATATCCCCGGCCCCACTTCAAGGGTTCCAGGACTCGGCGACCTGCGAAGAAGGTGTTCTGTCGAGGTTCAACGTAGTTTGCAGCTTTTATACGAGTCTAGGAAGTTAATATTTCATCTTTCGACGGTTCAGGCTCCGGCAATCATGCCTGGTGTCTTCGTGATCTGCACTCCACATACCTCACAGAGGTCCTTGGAAGTTTTCGCGACGCTTCTGAGATGAAGCGGACTGCTCGAGTTTCTATCTAAATCTATTCCGGGCGGAGTTTCCGCGCGAACTCTCCGCACAAATGCAGCAAACATCTGACTCAGCAGACCCCACATCGTGGGGTGCTTCAGGGGCAGGGGAGACTGAGTTGATGAGCAGCAAATCAGGCGCCACCTACGCAGCTGCGAGTCGGCAGTGAGCATCTGGGGGCTTGTGAGTTGGGCCATCCCACTCCAGCAACTCGAGATTCAACCTTATGGTGAGGGTTTGTGGGGTTGAGGGCTGCTTCAAAAAAGTTTTACCGCTACTACAAGGCCCTGAAACACTCGGGTCTGCTAAACATTATATCATTATAGTCATTAGCCTTATAAAATTAGGCGAGCGGACTACAATGCAGAGCATCCCTCCCGAAAGACTCAGTTGAAAGAGCGTAGCAAACGCTTCGGAGTGCCGTAATTTCCAGATGTCAGCAGGCGGCACTCAGCAGGCGCTCGCAGGTTAAATCCTCGCAGCTGAACGGAAACATAGTAACTGGCATCTGAGTAGCGGGAATTGTTTTCCTGCTGGTTTTACCCTGAATTGAACTTGCTGCCCCGCTCTTGTGCTAATTCCTGTATAACATTTATCTGGAACTTTTTCAAAGGGGATTGACGGTCGCGATACTTTTTCGAAGTTAATGCTCATACTGTGTTCATGAAACATTGGAAAATTACGTGCGTTTGGTAAATGGTAAAAGCATTGGGCAATGGAAATGCAAGGATATTCGGTGACATTTTTTAAAATCTGGTTGAATTTGGAACTCTGAATAATCTTCATAACTAATGGTGCATGATTTTGATGAGGTGGTAAGATCTACAATTTCTTTGTCCGCATATTCGTATCTTGTGCTTAGGTTTCCAGTTTTGTAGGACGTGGAAAATGAAGCAACAAGTTTGAAAACGGACGAATTACTGGAGTGCTATATCCGCAGAAGCTTTAACAGTTTGAATTTAAAGAAATTTCCCGGCAATCGGGTGTCGAAAATGAACTGGTGGTCGAACTTTTGTTGGCTTGATGCTTACGTTCTTATCTGGGTCCGGGTTTGCCGCTATAATAAAAACAATACCATCCAAAGTTGACCCCACCCCTGACAGGAGTGCAAACCCCTAAAAGGAGTGGAGGGGTGGCAGTGGGCGTGGGCACGAAACTCACAACCCTAAAAAGGTAAACTAGTTCAGAAAACAACAAGCTAAGCATGGAGCGGGTCGGGTGCGGCATCCCAAACCCAAGAAAGAGTGATGGTTCCAACGGTAAAAATTCAAAACAAATAAAATGTGCAGCGAGCGCGCATGACAATGGTAGAAGTGATGACGATGGTGCCTGCTGATGTCAAACCACTCGCTCTCTCACTTCCTCACTCCCACTTGCTCGCAGTCAAAAGCCTCGTCAGTCACCCACAGTCTCGTTTCCAGTCCCCCTCTCTCCCTGCCTCTCCCTGTCTCTCTGCCCCGCACTCTCTCTCACAGACTCTCGCTCTGAAAGCCCTTGGACTCAGGAGCAGTGTCTGTTTACCATGCGTTGAAATGGTGAACTTGCTCAAAGTCGGGACAGAACACAGCAAGTGATGCAACGGCTTTTTTGCAGGCCGCCGTGTGTGTTCAGTCGTGACGCACTCGAAGCTTCAGCTTTCCACCACAGCATCATCACCTTCACCGTCCGCATCACCCTCTTCTTCTCCTTCTCCTTCTTCCGGCTCCGGGGGAGGGTCGTCGCGTTCTGCGGGTGGCAGCTTCTTTCGCAACAAGGCTTTCATCATCGAATCCTGAGATGTAAAAGCCATTACAGTTACAAACACTCAAAGGTTTAGGGTCTTAGGGTTTAGCCTCAAATCAAAAGCATACATCAACGAGCTATCGATTTATAGGGTTGGGGCTAGGCTTCGGGTTAGGGCACAGGTTATGCTGACAGGCTGAAAGACGTGTTTAGGGTTAACTACAAGGCTTCACCCCAAGTTCTTTACAAACCAGGTGATGGGTTTAGGCTTATGTCGCAACAAACTTGAGGGAGTGTAAGAGTTGGACCAAGCAACCACCATCTGCTTAACGCTCTCGAGACTGTCGCCCTTTCGAAGCGCAGCCACCGCCTCTACCTCAGGCTCTGGCTTTCCATCTCATACAACAACACTCACTGCAAGCCTACAAGCCCTAAGCCTGGCATTGGTACTTAGTTCTAAATCGTAACCAAGCATCGGCCACCTTTCGCGACTCCTCTTTGTCGTAGAAGACTCCCCCAACCTGGAGTTGGGATATTGAGGATCGCGATTTTGGTTGCTAGACTATCGTAATTACTGGTGATTTTGTTTAGATAGACTCGGTTCAAGTTGTGGGGCTTTTGTGGTGGCACCCTAACATTGAAGCATAACCTTCTAACCGAGAGGGTTTAGGATATAGGGTTAAAGGTTTTGGGTTACTTACTGAAGAACAAAAGCTTGGTAAATCAATCAACTGTCGAGGCACTCTGACCTTCTCTGATCCACCCACTTTGATGCCCCAGCTGTTGTTATTTTTGTAGTAGCTGGGGTTACAGATGCTCTCTCCTCCTGTCAAGCAGGTGATGTCAATTCATGGTTAAACAAGAATACAGAGCTCAAAAACAAGATGTCCTGAGCGTGCTTTCGCCTTTGCTTTTGCCTTTGCTTTCGACTTGGCTTTGGCCTTAGGCTCCTTCGTCGCTTTGCTTGGTGGCTTCTTGCTTTCCTTCGGCTTCGACTCGCTTGACTTCTCCTTTTTTGGGCTACCCTTCGGCTTCGACTCGCTTGACTTCTCCTCTTTTGGGCTACCCTTCGGCTTCGACGCGCTTGACTTCTCCTCTTTTGGGCTACCCTCCTGCTTCTCCTCCGTTGGGCTACCCTCCGGCTTCGACTCTGTTGACTTCTCCTTTTTGCTACCCTTCGGCTTCACTGTTGGCTTCTTCTTCTCTTTCGGGATCTTTTTCACGCTGGGCTTCTTGGCTGGCACGGGGATTTCCTCACTCTCACCTTCTTCCTCCGGACCCTCCTCTGGGGATCCTAAGTCCTCAGACAACTCCTCAGGCTCAAGAGGGTTCTCGGTTTCGGCTTCTGACTCAGCAACTTTTGGCTTCTTGCTGGAACTGGCACTGGGCTTCTTCTTGGAACTGGGCTTGAACGAAGTGGGCTTGAGCGCAGAAGGTCTTTTCTTCGGCTGTTCCGGCTCCTGCACGACAGGGGGCTTCGAAGATTACAGAGTCTAGGGTTTAAATTAAGGGTTTATGTGATCCGTCCTCCGAGCTCTCTGAGACTTCGGCGATGGAGGTAAACAAAGGCATACGAGGGCGGGCTTACGGTGGTTTCAGGAACTAAGCACGACACTGTACGATGATCCACTCGGCCTAATTTTACACACGACTGACTTGCGCCTGACACATTCCTTGAGCATGACATAAAGAATCACAGCTTGACCGACTCAAGGCTTGCATTCAGCACCCAACTCAGGACGTTTTGAGGCAAAGTGTGCTTGCCACTGCTGCTGCGTCTCGACGTGCCAACAACCTACTACAGGTTTTAACTGACTGGCGCCCAAGAAACACAATCAAGCACCTCGGAATTATTGTGTGTGTTATGCAACTGGTAACTGCAAGGCTCACGAAAGACTGAGCAATTGCAAGTCTGAGCAGGCTCAGTCAGACCTGTCAAAACCTAGGCTGTTCAGATGGCAACGCATGAACCAAAATCTCATCACGAAAGTTTGCACCAGCTTTGCGCTGGAACGGTGATTACGGCAGTCAGGTAGATCTTCGGCTTGATGGGCATCAGCCGTGGAGGGTTGGAAGAAATCATCACCTGGCCAGGAATAGATTAGAAATCAGTAAACATCTGACATCAAAGTCAAATCTATCAAACAGAACCCAGACACGGGATCATAGCAGGCAGCCTCCCAGCAGATCTTGGCTCGCTTGTTGTTGATGACCTGATTGTAGTTGCCGTTGTAGGCGGCACCCAGGACGGCGCCCTTGACGGAACTCTTATCGGTATCACCATCGAGCGGGGTCGGCTTGAACACGCTGGTTTTCGAAGAAACCAGCCCCGAGATGTTGTACCTGAACACCACGGGCTGCGGCTCGTTGTCGCCTTCCTGCACACATCAAATCTAAACGAACACGGAGTCCAATGCTTGCGGGTCAGCACAATTGCTGACAAGTCACCGGCGGTGCAAGCTTGGCTGCGATGAGGTGGCTCTCAATGTCCACGTGGGCCAGCCCGTTGTCCACAGCAGCTTGCCGCAGAACTTCGCACAAAGGAACGAGCTTTTTGTCCACCACGACCAGCTCCCGGTCGTCTGTAATCCGAAATGCAACGCCGCTCGGCTCTTCTGCCACATTGACTCGGTTGAGAAACCAGGGACCGGGGTTGCGCTGTTGTGAGTAATAGTGGAAGTGGTAGTGGTAAGGTAGTGGTAGTGGTAGTGGTAGTGGTAAGGTAGTGGTAGTGGTAGCGGTAGTGGTAGCGGTAGTGGTCGTGGTAGTGGTGCTATTGGTAGTGGTAGTGGTAGTGGCAGTGGGAGTGGTAGTGGTAGTGGTGGCGGCGGTAGTGGTGGTGGTAATGGTAGTGGTGGTGGATGTAGTAGTGGTAGTAGTTGTGGTAGTGGCGGCGCTGGTGCTGGGAGCGGTAGCGGTATATAGTGGTATGGTGGTTTAGTCTAGTGGTTTAATGGTCTAGTGGTCTAGTGGTATAATAATAGTGGTGTAGTGGTTGTACTAGCAGTGGCAGGAAGACAAGGACAGGAGGAGTTACAGCTGCAATAAAAAAATCGCTTACTATGACTGCTGCTACTTCTAGCAGTAGTCAGACTTCCACGGTAACGGTGGAATACGCAAGGCAATAAGGTTTCCGGTCAAGGTTTGGATGTATTGAAACTGACTGACTGACGACGAGCATCTGACAATCATCTCCTTGTAGCTTCCCGTTCCAAAGCCACAAAGTTCACAAGGGCCAGTTTGCAGCTCCGAGTCAGTGAGATTTCCAACCCACATCTCGTACTTCTCCGTGATCATGACAGCCAGCTTGCCGGCCTTCGGAACTGTGGTGCCAAGCCTCGGGAAATTGAGCCGGGGATATGACAGCATGACAACGAGCATTCAAAACCGCAAAATGTGATGGCATGGAAGCAAGAAGCGGGGTCTCGGAGAAGTCTGCAACTGCAACCGCTTCCAAGTCGAGAACTCTTTGCACATCCAAAGGCTCTCCATCTTGACTGTAGTCGCAGCTGCCGGCAACCCGCGCTCCGGTGTCTGTCCCCACACTCAGGCTGCTCATGGAGCGAGTTGGTGCCCGGGGTCGGGGGAACTCACTCTCGAAACTTTTCCGAAGCTTGGTCAGCTCCGATTCCTCGTCCGTGCCGCTGGGGAACTTGCCTGCAAGGCTCTGGGGCCAAATGGCTCCACCATCCTGCCAAGCCAGCAGCTGCAGGTCTGGAAGCGCAACGTTGTCGTCATCACCTCGAGGGCGGCGCTTCGGAGGAGCCTGAGAGCTCTCGTCCCACCAATTGTACACGGCTGTGTTCAACTGGGACTTCACGTCCAGCTGCTCCGTAGACAAGATACCGCAATATCGTAGCACACACTTGCTGTTGGCGAACTGCTGCTCTTGCACTGCTCTTGCAAACTCCGCTTGCCTCACAGCTGTCTGTATCACGCAGTGTTAGAACATAGAACACCACATAATAAACTTGAAATTAATTGTTTTCTTCGTATCGATGGCCGGTTCGGCAAGAGGTCCACGCAGATCAGCCGGTCCTCCTCTTTCAGGTCCATCCCGTCCATGTAACCATCAAGGGTGCCCGTGTGAACGGGGATGCCTTTCCTCAGTTGTAGTGCCAACACAAGCACGGCCGCACGAACAATGCACAGACGGAGCACGCAGGACACTCTACAACACTCAGCGTCAGAGAGAGAAACGAAAACAAAGAGCAGAGTCTTTCAAGAGGGAGAGAGAGAAAGAGAGAGGCAGAGAGTCAGAGACTTCATGTGTGTGTGTGGGGTATATTATATTATATATATATAGTAGACCGAATTACATATTATGTAGTAACCATGTAGATAATGCGCACACATATTGCGAGGTCGAGGGTCCGGGTTTGGCTTGGGGTCAAAACTCGTGTGTGTGTGTGTGTGTGTGTGTGTGTGTGTGTGTGTGTGTGTGTGTGTGAATGTGTGTGTGTGTGTGTGTGTGTGTGAGTTACATCGAACGCAGGTTCCAGGCTTCGTGATATTTGGGGTTCAACTCTTATTCTACCAACAGAGCCAGCTACCCCACCCAAAGCTTCCAAAATAGATGCTGGCAACAAACATGCAGGACTTAGATGGCAGCACATGGTTTCGACTTTTGTCGGGGGTGCATGATTACTTCGGGGATTCTGTGACTCTCCTTAACGCTATAAAGTCTAAAGTCTAAAGTAAACCTACGCCAAACCCTGATGTCTACCAATCAATTCATTCCCTGGACGCCAACTTCAAACCCCCTCGCCCGGATAGTCGCATGCCTTGATGGAAGACTAAACAGCCATAGGGCAGACAGTCTTTAAATGGAAATTACCTCTAGTCATACATTGTCCTTTCGGCACTCGCAAGACGCGTCAGAGCCAAACAAACGTGGTACGGCACAGCAGCGACCCATACAACAGACTTCCAATGTGCTACCTTGCCCATTGCTACCCGGACGCGGCAAAGCAACAAGACATGAACCGAGTATGAATCCGCACAGCCAGCAAAATCCTCCTGATGCCTGAGTTCGACAGACCGTGCGACAACACGCAAGTGGATTGCATGCCCAGGACAATGGATTTGCTCTGCCGCTCGTCGGAATCTGCATTGACCTTTGTCAATTAACAAGTGGTGTCCTCAATCCTCCTCGCTTGTCTGAAGCAGAACCCTTCACAGACCCTTCACAGTCACATTGAATATCGGACAACGGGGGAGGCCGATGATTTCCGAGGTCGGGAAGGGCACCGGAAAGCCTGGGCTTCACCCTGAAATTGAAAGCTTTCAACAGCAGCAACACATAATCTAAGGACTCCCGACGGCCGAACAACTAACTAACTCTAAGCGCCTTTAATGTCGCTCACTGACTGACCAACAAACTAAGTGAAGGAACTTCCAAGCCGGCAAGCACCTGAGCAACCAACGCAATACTCACTCAGAAAGCCACTCCCTCATACTGAGCTCTTGTCACTGGATCCGAAAGTAATACCTGCCGAACCCCAAACCGACTCACTGTTAACTGTTAGTTTGGTCCGAGCGACTGCTCAACCCTGCTCGAAGGGCTTGGCTTCGAGACTTCGTCGTACCCCACAAAGTCCGACACCTTCAACAGGGCAAACGGCCCCAGCCGACCGTCCAGAACGGCTTTGCTCTTGCTTGTCCACGGCGTAGCTCCGAAGGAAGCCATCGCTGCCGCATGGCAGTTCTGAGTTAGCGGGCGTTGGTCACTGGTGTTCCCTGTCGGAGGCCTTTCGTAAAGCATCACAACCGGCCTCTCAAGCGAAACCTTTGCCTTGATAAGGAGATCTTCGAGCGTTCTCCGGTGCTTCACGAGCGTTACACCCTGCAGCGCCTTGTGGTGCTGGGGCATCTGAATGTGCCCGATGTTGCTCGAGGAATCCGAAAGCAACGCGGCAAGCACGGCTATCACCTCCTGGACATACAAAGAGTTGGCGGGCATGAGAGTGAAGTCGCAGCAGACGATCACATACCTCGACTTCTTTCGCTCAACCACGCACTCACAAACTGGAAAAACTAGATACCTCACTAAGTAGGCGAACTATCTATGTAGCTAAGCAACCAGGAACAACAAACCAACCAGTCAAGCAACCAACCAACCGACCAACTAACCATAATTGTTTAACTACACCGTCACCACAACCCTGAACCCTGAAGCACGAGCAAAATCAATGAGTCGCAACTTACCAACGCACACACACATCCACACACATACTCGCAGTCTTGCTGTATCGATACATCCTGCCAGCAATGCTCCGGAACTGCTCCATGAACTTCAAGATGTCGGGGAGGATGCTGCCACCCTGAAGGCTCTTGGACTCTGGGAGCATCAAGAAGTGGCAATGCTCGCTCATCCACTTCTCGCAGAACTCTTGACCTTTCCTGCGGTAGAACACTGAACCCTCTTGTGGGCTATAGGCTATGATACGAGAACAATCACTCACGTATTGCCTTAAAGCTTTATGAGGTTGGTAAATTAAATCACAACCAATTCCTGCAACTTGTGAGCGACGGTTTGGGCCTTCTTCCATTTTTGAACCCCAGCCTCAGGACTTCTGTGGAACTTAGTGATTGGGACTATTAAATATTAAATGTTATAAAACCAATTACAATGAACAACCCAGCACCTAAAGTCCTAAAACCCCGAAGCCCTGACATCTTCAATCCTGAAATTTATAAATCTCTACACTGGCCCTAAATCACACCAAACCCAATGCAAAAGCCTAAACCCCAAACCTTTAACGCCCTAAGACCGCGAACTAAAGCCCTGTACCGCCTAATATGCCAAACCTGAAACGCAGCAACCCTAAACCCCAAAAACCCAACGCTGGATTGTCCGAGTGGTGAATACCCTACCATAAACGTAATCTTAATCCCTACAACCCTTTCATAATGCTGCGGCCGGGAACGTCTGGCGGTCACGAACATACTTCAAATCCTTGGCCGTCTGCACTTGCTGGGACTGCTTGCTGCCGTTGTGTGCCCGCAACTTCTCCATGTCACTCTCCAGCCAGGTCTTGACCTGCACCAGGTTGGCCTGCCGCACCTGCCGTGCTGCCTCTGCAGCCTTTTCATCCTCTTCGTCACGGGTTGCAGACTCGATCTGCGCAAGGAACACCCTTGGTGTATCACTGCAAAAGCTAACAAAAGTCTCACTCAGTCAGTTGGCTGGGCACTCACTGCGAACACGTCTGTCACTCTGTCATGAGCCAACTCACCGGAAAGCTCCCACATCGTTCAAGGAGGCGGGCGGGACGTGGTTCTCGCACACATGCAAAAGGTCAGCATCCATCAAGCCCAATAGAAATTGGTGCTTCAGGTGCTTCAGCATGTCGTCAAATGCTGTTGGCGAAGCATGCAACTTCAGCTGCCCAAGGAAATGCAGGAAAAGTCCGGCACAAATGTGCTTCTGCACGGCTTCCTTGTGCGTAGCAGCCTGACTGACTCTGATTCTGGCACACAACATTGACTGACTCGAACCCGCTGAGACTTGGCACATTAACATATTATTACATAATATCTATTGGCACGCCTTGCGGAGGGGACCCGGGGCGGAGTCGTACTCCTCGTTCAGCCGCTCCACTAGAAGGAGTGCCTCGCTTTTTGAAATGATGCTCACGAAACGAAACCCGGGAATCTTCAGAATCAGTGACTAATCATTATGGGACAATTGCAGGTCGAGCTGCAATCTCCGGATTGTCCTTTCGATTCGTGAGCACATCATGCCACGACTGCATTGTCCCCACTCCTGAGGACCATCCTTGGGAGAAGACCTCCCTCGCGATGCACTCGTGCGACATGAACTTTGCCATCCCTCGTCGCTGTACTGAGCTCTTCAAGGCCTGCAAAACCTGCCCAAAGCACCAACTGAACATCATCAACAATTCATCAACCTACCAAGTGAAACAACCCATTACCCTGCCTCTTTGTGAACGCCACAAACAAGTTGGCTCACTGCATTCGCCTCCATGCGCCCAATCTTGAACGCCTTCGCTACTGATGTGGTGTTTTCCCAGTCCTCAACGAGCTCACGATGAAAGTACACACGCTTGACGCTTGTCTGTGAGAATAAGCATTCACTGCAAACCTAGGCGCTTCAAACTGCTGGGCTGCCCCAGGTCCTCCTGCTCTCTGCAGAATGGTCACTTGGCGGAGCAGGTTGAAGGCGTTGGGCGGGCGACGGGTTTGAGTAGCGACCATGGTCACTCCTCGGACAAAGCCCAGACCCAAACAAGCAATCCAAATTGAATTCAACTCTGACACGTCGAATGCTATCGGGCTGCCACGCGATGCCAACACTTTGGACTTCACATCTTTGAATGCGCTGAAAGATGCATGGATGGTCCCCATGGACACCTAAAGTTGCACGACAATTCAAAATCAATCAGCAGCACACACATCGCTGGAAGCAGAATCCATGCATGAGTTCGTCAGCATTGAAACAATGAACTGCGACGGATGCTACTCAGGCACTCGAATGCGGTGCGGGATCTCAGACTCCAAACCACACTCCTTGATCCCTTGCAGCGCAACCAACAAGCTCAGCGAGCGCTTCCAACCCTTGATGTAGCCGATGGACCATGGCCTCATGAGGCCACCTCGGTTGCGGCGTCTCCACACTACGCACCGTGTACAACCAGGATCAACCAGGCACCTCCACCACACGCACGCACGCACGCACGCACCCACACACACACACACACACACACACGAAACACACACACACACACACACACAACACACACACACACACACACGACACACACGCGCGCACACGCACACACACACACTACACACCTGCATACCAACACCCTAACCCCTGAATCACCCTAAGACCCCAAACCCCAATCCCGGGCCATAGGCCTGCTGACGATCTCGACGTATGGTGAGAAGTAATTAACTGAGAAAGACCTGATATCAGTTGGCTTAGTATTAGACTTAGACTTCTGCTGTAAAGTCACAGCCATCAAGGAAATGCTCGATCTGGGGGGCGGCGCCGTCCAAGAACTCTTCCGGGACCAAAGTGACCGCCAGCTTCTCTACCCCTGGCGTGTTGGGATCTGACAAGAAACCCTCGGTCAACATGAGCTGTATGAGCATCTCGCACACATCCGGCTCGATCACACCGGAAATTCCGTGGTCAGCACGCCATGCGAGCTGCCACGGCCGAAGGTACACGGCTACAGCGGTCTCGTCCTTCATGGCATAGTGCAACCTGGCTGTGCAACAGCAACTTTTGGCAACAACTCAACTACGGAGAGCTGCATACGCTAACGGTGGCACTTAGTAAGCTGCGCACCCCGGGTCACTGGGGCAAAAGTCGTTCACCCACTGGGCAAAGTCCTTCATCTTCTCCTGTCGCACAAAAGGCAGCCTAATGGGCACCAGCAGAAGATGAAGGAATTTGCCCAGTCGGTGATCGGGATGTATTTGGCCTCGGTGTCGTAGATTCCGCTGAGATACTGGTCAGGTGAATTCCCCTTCATGACAACCGTCCAAAACCTTAGTCATTGCATGCAGCAATTAGTTTAGATTTGAAAACACCACCCTTCTATTAATCTACGTAAAACTTTCGAGCCAAGCCCCTTTCAGGACCCATCCCCCCAACCCTAAACTGACTACCTGCATATTATGCTGTTCCGAAGACGGGCAACCAGCTTGTCACTTGATCGACATAGGGATGCTGACTCAGCGTCTCTGAACTGACAACTTTGCTGTTACTGCCCTTGGCAGCCTTGCTCTTAGCCGAGCCGTGTTCACCTGACTTGCGCTTGGCGCCGCCCATGATGGCAGCAAAATGGCTGCCCGCAATGGCTGCCTAAGCGGAGAAAAAGCGCTGGCCTGGACGTTCCTGAAAGGAAATAACAATCACTCATCCATTGCCATTCGTCTGGCGGCACTGAATTTAGCATCTGCAATTTAAACACGACGTGTAATGATAATGATCTCTAGCAAAAGACCCATGTCACTGTGTGAGCCAAGCGCAGTCTGACGCAACACGGCACGATACAATTGGAAGCCGCAAAGCTTGGGGTTGGAAGGGGCTCGGGGGAGACTTACCTTGCAAATCTGTCAGGATTCCGCAATGCATGACAAAGTACTGAGACTGGCCTTGGAGTAAACGGTCTTTTCTGACACTGTCGACGGTCCTCGATCGTCAGGCTGACTTCAGCTGTGAGGCGTCTTAAGTGCCGGGTGGCCGCTACGCTCCTACGTCGGGAACACAGCAGCAGCAGAAACCACTATTATTATTCATGTCTGATTGCTGGATATATCCAAACTACTAATTTAATACAGTATAATTTAGTTACAATTCAAATCCCAAGGACGGAAGACCCGAAAGTGTTGACCCCTAGCCAGGAGTGTTGAATCCCCGGAAGACCTGAAAGTGTTGAATCCCAGCGACGGACCCCCTGAAAGTGTTGAATCCCGGCGACGGACCCCCTGAAAGTGTTGAATCCCGGCGACGGACCCCCCGAAAGTGTTGAATCCCGGCGACGGACCCCCGGAAAGTGTTGAATCCCGGCGACGGACCACCCGAAAGTGTTGAATCCCAGCGACGGACCCCCTGAAAGTGTTGAATCCCGGCGACGGACCCCCCCAAAAGTGTTGAATCCCAACGACGAACCCCCTGAAAGTGTTGAATCCTGGCGACGGACCCCCTGAAAGTGTTGAATCCCAGCGACGGACACCCTGAAAGTGTTGAATCCCGGCGACGGACCCCCTGAAAGTGTTGAATCCCGGCGACGGACCCCCCGAAAGTGTTGAATCCCGGCGACGGACCCCCTGAAAGTGTTGAATCCCGGCGACGGACCACCCGAAAGTGTTGAATCCCAGCGACGGACCCCCTGAAAGTGTTGAATCCCGACCCCCCAAAAGTGTTGAATCCCGGCGACGGACCCCCTGAAAGTGTTGAATCCCGGCGACGGACCACCCGAAAGT